ATACATGTGATACGATCACACTTCCGCCTTAACCCGAAATCACCTCACATGATTCTACTCCGCTTTAGCCTACCCCCCAGAATAGTAAATTGGGCGACAAAGACGTCATAAAATTGTCAAAATCCATTGGTCTGTACCTGCTAATAATTTTTTTCAATACACGTTAAAGGCGAGTTTTTATATAAGTATATATTTTATTTTTTATATATATATTTTTTATATAATATTTTTTATTTATACTTTCTTTCTTCAAAACGGATTCCAGGAGGTTTGTAATGACAGTAAATAGGTTTCCTTATATTTTTTTATCTTTTTTAAATCGGATTTCAGAGGTTTTCGATGACAATAAAATTAGGCATTATAAATTCATGATGAATAAATGGATGGATGGATAGATAATTGGAAGAGCAAGTAGATAGGTCAATAGTTCGCTGCAAACTGGCAAACTGTAAGTGAATTTTTTTTTAAGTATTTTTTTTTATTTTTATTTTATTTTTGTTTAATTTCCTTTCTTTTTCGGAAGTTCATGGTAATAGATATGAATAAATTGCCAATAGATAGGTAAATAGGTGGTGAATGGATACATAGATAAATGAGAAGGTAATTTTTTTTTGTTTTTTTTTTGTATACAGTCGATCCCCTCTATAGTCACCTCCTGTACAGTCACGTCATATACAGTAAATCCCCAGTTATAAGCACACATTTCAAATAAAAAGTAACTATATAAAAGGATTTTTTATATAGTATTACTAAGTATTGATTTATAATCACACTTTTTATTTTTGGTTCCTAGGGGTGTGCTTTTAGGGGGGATCGACTGTGTATATATATATTTTTATTTTATATATTTTTTTATTTTATATATATATATATATGTATATATTTTATTTTACTTACTTTCCTTTTATCAAATCAGGTTCCAAAAGGTTGTGATAATAAATGACAGATGGTTCACAATGATTGTAAGTAGTTTGTTTTATTTAAATATTTTTTGTTTTTAATATTTTATTTTAAATATCTTTATTTTTAATATTTTTTTCTTGCAACAATGATAGATTATTTTTTTAAATTTTTTAAAATAATTCATTTCTCTCTTGATGTCAGGTTACATTCATAATAGATGAAGTATTTTTTTAAAAAAAATATATATATCGAAATTTCTCAATGTTTGGAAAATAAAAAAAAACCTTTGAGGAGTGGTTTGATGATGGTATGAATTTTAATCTAATGTCATATATACATTATAATGCATTATTATTATTTATTCAAATTTATCCAATTTAATTAAAAATAATTAACTAAAGTAATTAATCGAATCGAATTGAATTTTTTAATAAATAAAAAAAGATTTTTTCAGCATAGATAAATAATACAATTCAGAACGTAGTACATGTATCGAGTATTTATTAGAAACATTAGAAAGATTTTCTTCTGCGAGGAAACTTTTGTATATTGCTCAAGGTTAGCTATTTAAGTAACCATTATTAATTATTAATTAATTAATTAATAATAATAAAATAATTATCAAATAATCAATAACGAAAAAATTATCAAATAATAATAATAAAATAATTATCAAATAATTAATAACGAAACAATTATCAAATAATTAATAAAATAATTATCAATAATAATAAACAATTATCAAATAATTAATAATAATTATTATTTTTAATTAGGAACGTTTGGAGAATTAACAACAATTACAATAATTAGAATGGATAAGTGAAAAATAATAAATTATTAAGAAAGTATGGAGCTTTATTATCATATTTTCAAGTTTTAAAATCATTATTTTTATTATATATGTCGATCATTATTTGTATTATATATTATATTATATATTATATTATATTACTTTTATAATGTCATTATTATGATTATACTATTATTTATGTCTTCATCAGTGAATATTGTGAATATTACACACTTAATCACATTTAAATCATACTCATTTATATTATTCTATTATTATTGTTTATTATAATTTATATTTCTTTAACAATTTAGTCGTCCCGATAGTATAACAGTACAACAAATGTATATGGAAGATGTTAATACGGAAATTGGATTCCATTTAACATTATTGTACATGTTGGTTGAAGTACATCGAGGTGATGAATCTTTTGGAACGAAATTAGGTATTTTATTGATTATTATTAATTATTTTTTATTAATTAATTATTTTTTATTAATTAATTATTTTTTATTAATTAATTATTTTTTTTTAATTAATTGTTTTTATTAATTAATTATTTGTCGATTTATTTATTTATTTATTTTAATAACATAACAATACGATAATATTATTATAATAAACAACAACAATATAAATCAATGATAACGACCAATTAATAATGTTAATAATAATGAACCCACCGATGACCGTATTTCTATTATGTAATATAATTATTATAATTATTTTCCCTTTTATCGATATTTAGTTGCGGTCCAAGTTCATGGATAATTGATATGACATGCGCTTTTCCATCGGCATAATAATAATAATAATAATTTCAGAGATTGGATACCAAACTCGCATCCTAAATCCTAAAACCATTCATTCATTCACTCAGAAAAAAAATAAATAAATACAATTTTTATTTTTTTTCGCACTGATTAATAAATAAATGCAATAAATGCGGCTTGTTATTTATTATGTTCACCTAATTATTCGGAAAAAATAACAGATAATTGTAGCAGTGATATACATATTGTTATATCACAAGTTAACACAAATTTCTTTAAGTGAATTTCGTATGACTTGAGCATAAATTTTTTTCCTTTTACATCTTTTTTAATGTATAGATCTTATTGTATTTTGTGTAATGAGATAAAATATTATAAATAAAATAACAAAATGTCATTAATAAATGCGATTTTTGCATACTAAAACAACTTGTAATTTTTTAAATGTAATTTATGTTTCCTTTTTTCAAAAAAAAATTTTTTTTCTACATTTCATTCCATAAGCAAAAAAAATGTCATCTGATATATGCCCAGAATGCAATCAAAAATATAATAAGTGGTGCAAACCATGTAATTCGAAACATTTCCAAAATGATTTTAATAATTGGACGAGTGGAAATGACGAAATAGATAAATTCATTCAAGATGCTCAATTAAATGCTAATAAAGTTTATGAAACAATAGAATGGATACCTTATGAAAGATTTAAAGATGTTAAACCAATAGGTAAAGGTGGATTTGGAACAATACATCATGCTAAGTGGATTGATGGACCAATTGAAAAATGGGATATTGAAAATCAACGATGGAAAAGAAAGTTGCGAAGAAAAGAAGTCGAAGTGGCATTAAAAAAGTTTGATAATTTTGTGAATTTAAACGACGTCTTGAATGAGGTAAATATTTAATATATTTAATATTTAATTTTAATTTTCAAATTATTATATAACGTTTTAACTATAAATTAAAAATGGTTATATTATTTATATTATTAGATGGCAATTCACTTAAAAACGCATAGTGATTTTTATTCAAGTTCAATTAGATTTTATGGAATTACACAAGATCCAAAAACACACTCACATATGATGGTTTTACATTATGCAGAAGATGGAAATCTTCGAGAATATTTAAGAATTAATTTTAATAATATTAATTGGAAACAAAAATTATATGATCTATGGAATTTATCTTATGAGTTGAAAAAAATTCATGAATTAGGTATAATTCACCAAGACTTCCATCCTGGAAATATTTTATCAAACAATTTTCAAAATGAACTACAGATTTCAGATTTCGGATTAAGTAAACTAATAGGGGCAAATCCAAATAGTCCCGAAAAAAAGAATATATTTGGCGTATTACCATATATTGCTCCAGAAGTATTAAGTGGTGAAGAATATACAAAAGCTGCTGATGTATATTCATTTGGAATTATTGCTTACGAAATAGTTACGGGTTTTCCTCCATATCCTGATATACCACATGATAAAGATTTAGCTATGAAAATATGCAATGGATTACGACCAAAAATTCCATTTCATACTCCAAAATTAATTACAAGAACAATTATGAGGTGTTGGGATGCTCGAATTACACATAGACCCACTTCTAAAGAATTACGTAGTGAGTTGATGGAATACTTTTATGGTTACAGAGATTATTTAGAAGAAGGGAAAAATAAAGATTCAGAAATTGTAATTCAAATTAAAAAAGCTGAAGAATTTTCAGCAAATCAAGAATCAACAAATACAACTAAAACAATTCCTCTTAATTATCAAACACATCCACAAGCAATTTATACCAGTCGACTTCTTAACTATTCAAATCTTCCAAAACCCAAGAATGATGAGAATTTCGAAAGGGAACTTGAAGAATTAACTAAATCTATGTCTGATTTATGTCCCGGTAAGTACTGTTATTTTTTATTATTTATTTATATATTATTTTATTTTTATAATTAATTATATAGTTCATTTCTATGTTATTCAGGAGATTCTGGAATAGTTGATTTGGATATGTCTAATTTTTAATTTTATTATATTGACATATTTATTTTTATTTGTAATTATTTGTTTAAGTTATAAGCATTATTTATTATTTTTTAATCTCAACACTAGGCATAAAGTATGAATTCGTCATCCAATTTGTACAAATTCAATTAACTTTATTATTATTTTCCTATTTTTATAAAATCGAAATTAAAAACTAAGGAAATATGAATTTATCACAAAATCGACTGAAAGTGTTAAGTGTAAAATATCGTATCTAACATTTTTTTCAATAATTATTCGCAATATAATAAAAACATAAAAAAGTCTAGATAATCGTTAAGATTATAATCGAGAAAATTGTTTTTGTATTGTTCTTTTAATAATTTCACAAAGTTCCCATCTTATCATATAATAAAATATATTATTCTTTGTATCCTTTGTAAAAAAAAAAATCTTTAGAATAATTTCATAAAAAAGATCACTTTTTTTTGAAATAATTCCTATTTGAAATAGGGGACAACATCATATTTGCAAAATTAACGGAAGCAAGACAGCAGATATGATTACTGTAATCATCGTAGTAATGAATATATCCAACAATTTGGATAGGTCATTTTCAATGATGACATGGTAATTATTTCTGGCTCAATTTTATTATTTATTATAATATAATTTATTTTTATAAATAATTTTCTCTTTTATATATATATGTTTTATTTTTTAAGGTTCCAGCGTGCATCCTTCCAACACACACACTTCAATATTCTTTCATTCCACATGAAGGATCATGAGATTTGAGACAAGGGCTTCTGGACGATGTTACTTTTGGATCGATTCAAATTTTTCTACGTGAACTTATAATTATCCGTCAAGATATTGAATGGTATGAATTGTATAATATTTAAAAGTCAATAAGTACAGCAATTTTTGAGAACATTTACCATTTTTTAAAAATCATATCCTTTTTTTCAATTCCATTTCTTACATTGACAAAAAAAATAGAATATTTCATGCACACAAATTTAAGGAGAGATTATCTTTATTTCATTAGGTGTGTCATTTATTTATATAAATAATTTTTTAATAACTTAAATATTTATTCCAGGGGTACTTAAAGGATTGCGAAATTTATGGCATAAATAGGTATGATAATATTAATACACTAATATTTGCCAACATTTTTGAATATTTACTGATCTTTAATTTTACTTAATAGTAAAACAAAAATAAAAAAATAATATTATGAATAAATTTATAGTTACAATAATATAATCAAAAAAAAAATAAATTTAAAAATATAAAAAATGTAAAATATAAAATAAAAAAAGCACATTTATTTGTATGTAAAAAATTGTTGCAATTTAACTTTTTGCTAATTAAAACAAATCAAAAAATTGATCAAAGCATACTGGGGATTTGAACAATAGTCGAATTATTATTATTATTATTTAAAACGATTTTTTACATGAAAGAGTGTAAATTACGTGGATAGACTTTATTGATTATTTCCATTTCCGGAGGAATTGACTGAAATATAATTATATCTCTACTTCTCTTCGAAGACAAAGTATATTTATATCAATTTTAAAAGCTTATAACTTATGTGTTGTGATGCAAATATTAGTTGCCTTCACCACTGTTTATTATCCTCTTTTAGCACTATTAAAATAAGTTGATTATTAGATTAAACCTAATATTTATTTAAAGAAAAGTAACTAAAATCTAAAATCATTATGCATTTGAAATATTAAAAGCGTAACAGGTCAGTTAATAAAGATGACAACATCGTTATAATGGATTTGTCCTTTGATCTTTAAGCCGGAAACATAATACACTTATCTTGAAAGTTTCAGGCCCATTGAATACACATCAAGAGAATAATGCTTGTTTAATTTTTTTGAAAATTTAAAATGACTGAATGAAGATCTCGATGGATCCAGTTT